TCTTCCTTAAGGAGTCAGTATGCAAGGACCATTTGAGATCACTGTCAATGAGAATACCTAGAAATTTCACGGAATTTACGATATTGATTTGGCTCTCATTCAAAAGCAAGGGTTGCATGACTCCTTTATAAGATAATGCTACGGTCTTATCCACGTTAAAGCTAAGTAAGTTGGAGTCTGACCAAGCCTTGATTATAAGTAAATCAGCAGTTATAATTGAATGAAGCGTTGAAATATCAGAGCTGCTCCAAGTAATACTGGTATCATCTGCAAATAGAAAAATTTTCCTTTTAATTTTCAAGTAAGTGATGTCATTAATGAAAAGTAAAAAAAGTAGTAATGTCTCCTCTTTTCTTCAGCAACTCCAATGCTATTTGATCCGACCCGGTAATTTATTCATTTTTAATTTGTCTACTGTTGCTTTAATCTGGGCTATTGTTGGTGGACAACGTAAAATTAGGAAGTATCTTACAAAACATTGTTGGACAAGATACTGAAATTGCAAAAGTAAATTCTAATAATGACGTTTTATGTACTGATTTGCAATAAGTTCTTTTTTGTCCTAATCTAACCCACTCATCAATCTTCTACCAGCGACAACTTTCTTCGTATAACTACGATGTTCATAAGATGGTGAGTAATACTGCTACAATGATGCTGTGGAACGAAGTAATGGCGCATTGAGCCTCCACTGAGATAGCATCAGCACTGCTACTTTATATAACTGAAAACTTCAATCGTTTTGATCCAGGCCAAGAAAGAAAACTTGTTATTTGGTCAGATAGATGTGTCAACCAAAATAACAATTAGAAAGTCATAACATTGCTTCGACTACTAATGTTAAAAAAATACTTCACCCAAATTGAGCAAAAGTTTCTTACTAGTGGGCATTGCTTTCTGCCCTGTGATAGAGACTTTGACCCCATAGAATGTAACAAGAAACTTTCATCGGTTTATATCCCGTTTCAGTGGATAGATGTAATTGCAAAAGCTAGAGTTAAAAACCCATTTTAGGTTATCAATTTTTTTTTTTTAATTTTATCAAGTAGAAAATGTAGTATGGAAAGATTCAAAGTGCAAAATACTCAGTCAGGGTAGATATAAATTAGCTCAGATAATCAAAATACTATACGGTTAAGAAAATCCCACAACAATATTCAACCATGGTCATCTTATTCTTTAAAGTCAACTAAAAAACTATAACTGAAGTCACTCTTGCTAAACTTACAGAAGCCTATGAAGAGCCACTACCAATTAAAAAAGAAAAACACGCCAATTTATTAAATATTGCGGAATATGTTTCACTACAGTATGTAAGATCAAAATCTTAAGAGTGAGTAATATTATTTTGATATGTGCATCATATAAAACATGTTTATAAGTAATTTGTTATTATTATAAACGTACATATTAATAATAATATGTACGTTTCTAAATTTCACGTGTACTTTTTATTTCTAAAACAAAGTTTAAACCGCCTTACTTCCACATAACGTTTTAACAACCGACGGGGATTTAACAGCTGTTTTAATAAAATATAACATATATAATGTTCATAAATGCTTGTTTTGTATAACCACGGTTATTTTGTTGATATTAATGTTATGCATCTTATAGTCTATCATATTACGCTCATATATATATATATATATATATATATATATATATATATATATATTTATATATATATATAAAATATATATATATATATACTATAATATATAATATAATATATATATATATAAATATATATATATATATATATATATATATTTATAGTCAATTATTAAGTGTTTTTTTTTAATTTGTCGACAAAATGTGATTTGGCGTGTACAAAGTTTTTCCAGCATAGCATTCAATTAATGCTCCAAATCATTCATTTTTGTCTCTACAGCTTGGACTAATATTGTAACGGAAGAATATTGAAATGAATAAACTGAGTGCTTAAGGATCAATGGCAACTGTATCGTTGCCGGTGTCTAACAATAATCAGGGGGTCAATGTAACTGGAGGAAGTAGGTCTAAGAAATAGCGAAAAATACTGCAAAGGGTAGGCGAAGAATGGTCGGCGATATCGGCAAAGTAATCTCTCCAGAGCATTAAAGTTAAGATTATACAAGTGAATCCACGTTTTTTTTTTCTATAACTTGGGCTATAAAATTTCTAATAGAACTACGCAGACTAATAAATCAATCATACCCAGTAATTTTATAGTCGTACCAAAGTACGCATATATATTTTATAAACATATTTTAAGTATACTTAATATTAAGTGGTATGTCATGTTCTTGCTTCATAAATCATGTTTTCACTTCACCCTTTGTAATTTTTTACACACTTAAGGGCACGTTCAGCTAACACATAATAATCACTCAGTAGCTAAGTGTCATGTTTCTGAAAGGAGTGGAAGAAGGAGAAAGAAGACGTGTCTGTGAAGGGATTAATATTTATATGATCCAAGATAGACACATATTGAGAAACGTACCTAAATAGAAAAGCTGTCTCCGCAATGGATTAGGGCTAAGAGAATTATGATTTATTAAAGGTCACTGTAATTAATAAACTAAATGGTTCCTTTGTTAAAAATGTTAATATAAATATGTTAATAATATGTTATAATGTTAATATATATAATGTTTTTAATTTTACACAAAAACACATACATGCGCACGAAAGTGTATGTTTTGGCACCTATTCAATTATTTACAAGTAAAATTAAAAATTAAAAGATAAGCTAATATTTTTTATTACGATATACCAGTCATTGAGAAATTACTTGATAAGGAAGCAATCATATGTACAACCTTGACAACTAAAATTACATTTTGTCTGTTTTACAGTTTTTTAGATTATATAACTTTATTAGCGCGATAAAGCCCAACGACAAAAATATTACAATCGTGCAAATATATGTCGTGATACAATTAGTTTGCTACAATATTGTAGCGAAAAACCAAAAATATATGTTTGCTGTACTTGTATAAAGTAATCAAAAAGTAGGAATGTATCTTATATGTTGAAAAAAGTTATATGTACTTTAAAAAAATTAATAACAAACATTTCATAGTACATCAATGTCGATGAGTTCTGTACCGATAACAGAACAAATCGAAGAGAAACAACAAACAGCGTTGCCCTTGTAGATTTGTCACTAACTTACGGCACCTTTAGACAGAAGAGACTGCTTCACAAAATTTATAATAACTCAGCGGTTCCTATCTAACTAGGGTCGTGTATTCGTTGATCTATCAGTCTGGTCCACGGATAGTGGCCACAACGGGATAGTAGAAGGGGGACAAAGTTCTGACACAACCTGGAAGAAACAGAAAGAGATTTACGGTGAAAATTGCAACGTTTAACGCTAGATCCTTAATGTAGGAAGATGGATTACTGAAATTGAGAGACTAGCTAGAAAACATCAAATGGAAATAATATTTGGACAGTGAAGTAAGGAGACGAGGATAGTCTCTCGAAACAGTAACTCTATTTACTTATTTTAGTATTTGAGAAATCTCTATGAGCCTTAAGAGAAATGTATACAATCAATGTGTACTTCCAGTCATTAAAGTTCTCTACGGAATAATACAATTAAAGGATAAAGATGGAAATACCCAACAGAGACGAATTACTAAGGGTAATACAAGATTTCTTTACATAATTTCTATACATATCATACAGAAGTCAACAAAACCATGATGAGCAACTAACAAAAAGTTCAGAACAGAAAAGAGAATTCAGGAAAAATATTAGTCAACCAAAGATTGGAATTGATGACTGATATATCAACAGACGAAATAAGGAACGCAATAAAGAAAATAAAAGAAATAAAGTCCCGGGAGAAGATAATATTGTTATGGAAGCCGCAAAGATTGGAGGAGACAGAGTTTTAGAGAATATAAAGATATAATTGATCAACTTATGTCTGCACCAAAGTGAAACACCTACAAGATGGCACAGTGTATTTACCATTTTATTACCCAAATAGGCGACCCAATAGACCCCGAGAATTACCGACCCATAAGCCTGTTAAACCATCTCTACAAGTTATTCACAAGAATAATAACAAATAAACTGGAAACAAAATTAGATTTTTACCAACTTAGTGAACAGTTAGGTTTTAGGAAAAACTTTGGCAACATCGACCACCTCCACTGCATTAAAGGGTTTATAGAAAAATCCATCGAATACAACCGACCATTGCTCCTGGCTTTCGTAGACTTTCACACAGCATTTGATACGATAGAAATTAACAGCATAATGAGAGCGTTGAAGGCAAGCCGCATAGATTATCGGTTCCCCAAACTGATCGGAATATATAAAAATGCAACCATGATCGTAAGACTAAGCAAAGATACAAAATGTATAAAAGTCAAAAGAGGAATCAGACAAGTATACACGTTATCTCTCAAACTCTGGAACACGCTTTCAAAAAATTGGAGTGTGAAGCCAAAAGAACCAATAACGACGGCGAAATGCTCTCCCCCCCCCCCCCTACGATTTGCGGACGAAATTGTTCTGATAACAGAAAACTTAACAGACGACGTCAAAAAAATGGGAATTGGCGATAGGAAGTTCAAGACCGACAGAACTCGAAGGAATTGGGCGCAGAAAGCTGGATGATGATGATGAATTGATAAACCCCACTTACCTATAATCTTCATCTATTTTTTCGCAACATGTAGGGGATATCATCTTGATCAAGCAAAGAGGTCATAACGAACAATTCGTACAGGCAGCTAAGACTTTAGCTGACTTTAGCTGCTGCTGATAAACTTTAGATATACCTGGCTATGGATTCTACTCGAATATCAGGCTATTTAGGGTTCGTTATTCAGATTGCATCGAATTTTCAAATTTGCATGAATTTTTTTTATTAGTTCTTGTTCCGTCAAACTGACGTATCACAAGCCGCCACTAGCGGGATCTTAGTATGATAAAAATATAAACGTTGTTTCTGTATACATTAAATATTTAGACATAAATTAGATAAACTTACTCACCTGGATGTAACCCACGATGGTCTGATCAGCAGGTCTATCGGTGATGAGGAATTTGAATCCTTTGTATTCGATTTCTGCTGCAGCAGGTCTAAGATCTTTTTGACGCATGGCTGCAGGGATTCCTTGTCCTTGAGAATTATGATTCATGCCCCGACGTACACGAGTTTTCTTTAAATATCACACAAGTTTTAGAAGACCGACTTTATGATCTCCAAATATATATTTAAAAATAAAAACTAGTTAAAAGATCAGTCTTTTTAAAGAAAGTTACTGTGTTTTCAATTGTTATTTATTTACACTAGGTTGATATGCTTAGCAATTGAAAGGAAGAACGCAACAAAAGTTTTTAGTGCAGTTTGACGGATGAGAAACTCAGAATTACATATGATGTACTAATTTGGCGTCTTGAAGGATGAGGTCAAATTCAATATCTATTTAGCTGTGATGAAAATGACTAAGTTCGACGGCAGCCGGTATGCCTCTTTTTATCAATAATTTATTTGTGTTGAGCTTGGCAATATTCTGCGCTATCCAAATGGAACTCCATGTATGCGAGCACTGTCTCACCAAAATACTGAAACAAAAGCAATATATTAATTAAAATCAAAACTAGGATGTAGGATGACATATTACATAAAACTACACGCATCAAAAATGTCTAAGGAATACCATTATTGTTCCACTTTTTTCAATATAAACTTAATAATTTTTTTGTTAATACATACCACTCGATTTGAAAACTTCCCTTAAAATCAAGATATGTCATGTAAATTAATCTGTCAATTGCACCGTAATATTAAAGCAAAAGTGACAGCGCTTACGTATGATTAATTACTTCAAATTGTAAAGAAACAGTGCGTCAAAATTTAAAGATAATCTGTATTTCCTTTAAAATTCTAATAAAATAAGATTACTGCAGGTTATGATTTGTTTTAGATGCAGGTTAATATAAGTTCCAGAGATATGGAAGTCTCTGATAAATCCACATACTGCAGTATCATAAACAGATTGGTTTCACAATAAAGATATTACACTTTTACCGTGGCAGAACAATCTTACAATTACAAACACGTTCTACCAACATCATCCACGGAGATTATACACATGGCGCAGTCGAGATGCACAAACGAGAAATCAAATAGATTACATCCTAACAAGATCAGGATGGAAGTCGTCGGTCATCAAGTGTAAAACATATTCTGGTGCAGACTGTGGATCTTGCATCATCAATTCCTGGTATTGAACTCGACTTCGTTTTAAAATACCCAAAATAAAGACCCCTAAGAAAAGGTATGTTTCTAAGTCCATCACAAATCAATGACTTCCAACAAAACCTAGAAGAAGCTCTTTCTTTAGACCAAGTAGATAGTGAACCTAAGAGCACTTGGATCTATCTCAAAGATAAGGTAATCGGCTCTGCAAAAAACTGTGAGGCAGCGGTTTAAACAGGCCGTAAGCCGTGGATTTCCAATAATACGTGGACTATGATTGAACGCTGAAAAAAACATAAACTAGATACGGAACAAACGATGAATACAGAGAATTATCGATAGAAAACAGTGAGGCAAAGACAAAGCTGATTACATCTCTCAAATATGCAGAGAGATAGAGAAATATGGCTATCGAAAGAAACCGAGGGATTTATTTCGGAAGATCAAACTCCTTCTCAGAGAATTTAAATGTCAAACGTGGTCCGTAATAGATAAGAAAGGAAGGTACTCTAAAGAAATATCGGAAACATGGTGAAACTACTGTGACGAGATATATAAAAACGAGGTACCAGCAGAAAATCAGTGGCCCTCTGACTACCCTAGAGAACCAACCTACTGTTTTACTCGCTGAAGTCAAAGATGCAATTACATCGCTAAAAAGAAATAAATCCCGAGGCATTGATTGATTCAATACCAGGTGAAATACTACAATTACTAGGTAACAAAGGATTACATATCATCCATTCTATCTCTGTCGCTATTTGGAATTCAGGAAAATGGCCATCTGACTGGTATACCTCAATTTATATCCCGCTACACAAAAAGAAACTACTACCAGATGTGAAAACTACCGCACACTGTCCCTAATATAATACATGCTAGTAAAATCTTGTTGCATATTATCAAAAACAGATTAAAAACCTATCTAAATTACCAAATATCTCAGGAACAAGCGGGGTTTGTAAAGGGTAAAGGTACACGGGAACAAATCCTGAACTTGAGACAACTCATTGAAAAGTCTAGAGAATTTCAAGTACCTATGATTACATGCTTCATTGACTACCAAAAGGCATTTGATTTTGTAAGCTGGATAAATTTGTTGTCCATTTTAATATAATTGAGCACATCAAAGCACCTGGTGATACTTATTAAAAATCTGTACCAGTCCAATATAGCAACAGTACAACTAGATCAGAAGTTCTCAAATCTAAGACCGAGAGAGGTGTTAGACAAGGATGCGTGTTGTCACCTGACTTATTCAACATTATGGTGAACATTTATGAGCCTGGCTTTAGATGGATGGGCCGGTGGAGTAACGGTGGCGGGTAGGAAAATCTCCAATTTAATATTTGCTGATGACACTAGACTTATAGCAGCAAATGAGTAAGAAATGTTTAATCTCCTGCGAAGAGTTGGGTACGAAAGCAATAAAGTTGGTCTGAAAATCAATAAATCTGACATAACTAATGGTGGTCGACAGATGCCACACTGTTCAACTCACTAACATATTACAGGAATACCAGATAGTGGACAGTTTTGTCTATCTCGGGTCTATTATAATTAATGATGGTAACTGTGAAGCAGAAGTTCGGAGACGTATTAGTATGGCAAAAAATGCGATGAGTCGCCAAACTAAAGTAGGGAAATACAGATCTATCTCTCAAAATATTAAGATGAGACTGGTGAATGCCCTTGTACTCTCAATATTTCTATACGAGGCAGAGACTTGGACTCTTCACGGACGCGAGCGCCAAAAAATTGATGATTTTGAGGTGTGGTGCTGGAGAAGAATGCTGCGCATACCTTGGACAGCTCCTAGGACAAACGTTTCCATTCTAAACCAACTCGAGATTAAAAAAAGGCTGTCCACAATATGTCTGCAATCTTTCGGTCAGGTGGTCCGCAGGGGTGACGATAATTTGGAGAGATTAATTGTTTTTGGAAACTTTCCGGGGAGAAGATCAAAAAGACGATCACCAACTAGATGGTCCGACCAAATTAAGAAATAAGCTGAAAACTCATTCTCAGAAGCTCTCAGAGCAGCTGAAGATAGGGACCAATGGAGGAAAATTGTTAGGAATATTGGCAGAAATTACGATCCTCAATAATAAAGAAACAACAAGCGAGAGAGAGGACAATCGCCATATTTTAATTCCATTGAGCATGTAGGGAATATGCTCTATGACTATCGTTGCGTTTAATAATGTTGTTATAGTAAAATTCTAAACTAAATACAGGCAATCTTTAAACTTTGAAGCATTATTTCTTTACAATTTAAAGCAATTAATCGTATGAATTTAAGGCGCTGTCAATTTTGACATAATAAAACAGTGCAATTGACAGATTAATTTACATGGGATTCCTTGATTTGTAGAGAAAAAGTTTTTAAATCGAATGGTACGTATTAACAAAATAATTATTAAGTTTTAATTGAAAAAATTGGAATACTAATGGTGTTCTTTAGACATTTTTTATGTGGGTACAATATCCCTATTATGTTTATTTTCATATGCGAGCAACGAAATATTATATTTTTAAGATTATCAATCATAACCCTATAAGCATATTTGCTGGAACCATTAATTTTGTTAAGTACCGATTAATATTGACTTGATAACAAAATGATTGGTTAAAAAAATAAGCAAGCATTTTGTCGGTTTTAAAAACAAATTATTTGGATTTAAACAAGTGATTAAATCTTCTCAATGACTGACATTTTCATGTCTATTATTTATCTATAGGATAATTGATGGATTCGACCGTTACTTGATGGAAATTCATTTTATGTAACAATAAAACACTGAAAACTTTGTTTTCAAACTTCCACAAAATTTATTTTAACTATTATCACTACAGCGGTTTCGGCTGATTGCCTTTCTCAAGTGATCTATTTTTGGCATGTGGTTACAATTTATAGTCTCTAATGAAATAGGTTGAGGAGGGGAGAACTGTTTGTCTCAAGTTGGTCATTCAGAATTATATATGTTTTTTAATTTATTGATTTCCATAGATTCTAACAAAGATAGCTTAAGGGCTTTATTTTGAATGTGAAGAATTTTAAATTTGTCATTAAAATAATGATTCATGATCTAGAAGGTGACGTGCGTATGAGAGAACTTTAGAATATTTAGGTGTAGAATGTGAAGTAGAATTAAACAAAACTATCTATATATGCTAACAATATCGAAAAAAGTATAATTGCTAAATCTATTACAGATGTGTGTAGTGAAACTAAGAATTCCTGTTACAAAGAGAATAAAACAGCAATTTCAATTAAAAATAAATCAATAGAAAACAACATTGTGTTTACAAAAGCAGACAAAGGCAACACTACTATTGCTATAGAAAAAAATAAAATATAATAACAAAACAATAGAATTCTTAAATAATCAAAATATTGAAACTTTACACAAATATCCGACAGAAAAATATCAAAAACAAATTAAGCTAGCGTTAGAAAATTCAAAATCAATAGTAAATCCAACAGAACAGAAATACCTTAATATCATGAACCCACAGCCTCCTAAATTATACTCTTTCATTAAACTACACAAACCGGATCACCCAATAAGACCTGTAGTTTCTTTTTATATAGCTCCATCATTTATAAACTTTCAAAAAAACTGCTAGAGATTATTTTAGAACACACTAAATTTTCACCTAAATTTACCTTAAAAAATACAATAGAACTAGTTAAAGTTGTTACGATATGAATTGGGAAAGAACAATTTTTGGGGTCCGGTCAGTAATTCTACGGCGAACATAGAAATAAAGATAAATCTTTGTAATTCTAATTATTGATTACTCCTGGTATTAGTCCACATGGATAGTGGTGTGGCTTATTAATTTGAACGTATCTTATTGGGTAATACTGAAATGTAATTGGTCAAATTTTTCGACAGTGCATACACTATAACCAAATCTGGCTTTGCCGTTAGCAGGTAAAAATTGTTTCTCATGTTTCAAAGGCGGCAAGCATTTAAATAAAGACAGTAACAGTGTCGTCGTGATAAATTAATTTTATTTTAAACTTATTATATAAATTATTTTATTTTTATAGCAAAATTGTAAACTCATTTTTTAGTTCTCAAATTAATAAGCACATTAGATTTCATTTGCGTTATGTATGTATATACTTTTAATCATCAATTTTAAATTTCAATAAAAGTTAAGGAATTTTTAGGGTCCAGTCCCCAATAATTCAGAAATTAAACATTATTTGTAATTGATCACTAACGGTATTGTCCATATTGCAGCTGTGGTTTATAACTTTCTACGTATCTTATCGGGCACTACTGAAGTGTAATTAGTCAAATTCTTCGGAAGTTATTACGCTCAAACTTGATCTTTATCTGGTCAAAAATGCCTTCTCAGGTTTCTCATACTAAACGATATATTCAGTATCGTCGTGTACGACAGCAAGTTCACGTATATTTTTAATATTTTTGTGCAAACAGTAGTGTTGTGTTTTAGTTAAGTTTGAGTTAAGACAGTAGAAAATAAGTTGTGAACACATTAAAGAATATCGAGATGACAATAGAGACATTGTGTATCTTGATGAAACGTGGTTTGACACCCATGATGTAGTTCAATATGGCTGGATGGATGATAGCAAAAAGTGCTGCTTGAATACTCCTTGTTCCAGAGGAAAAAGAATTATAATTCTACATGCTGGAACTAAGAGCGGGTTTGTACCTAATGCCTTGTTATTATCGGCCAAAAACATTAAACAGTGTCATCAGCTGATTATCATGAGGATATGACGGCTGAACTTTTCGAAAAATTGGCAACGGAACAGCTGTTACCGAATATTAAAACAAATTCCGTGATAGTAATGGATAATGCGTCATACCATTCTAGACTATACACCAAAATTCCAAATACTAGCTCCAAGAAGGAAGATATCATAGAATTTATGGAGAACAAATGCATGGCAACACCTAGTAAATGTACCAAAAAGGAATTGTTGCAATTAATTAAGCAACAAAATTTTCAAAAAGAATATGTAATAGATAAACTCTTTGAACGCCACGGGCATACGGTTTTTCGGCTCCCTCCATATCATTGTGTTTTCAACCCAATTGAAATGATATGGGCCAATGTAAAAAAGAAATTGCGGAAAATGAATCAATCTCCCCAATTAAGTGACGTTGTTGTCCAAAATATAAGAACAGTGATCGAAGAACTTAACAAAACTGACATTTGGAAAAATTGTGTAGCGCATGTTCAAGTAAAAGAAAAAGAATATCCTACTTTACCACCAATTGAACCGGTAGTTATAAACACAAACGACGACTCAAGTTCTGGACACAGGGATAGTGATAGTGTTTAATTGTTTGAATATTTCTACAAAGACTTCCACAACTTGTCAAAAATATGTTCTGTATATCGAAGTAAATGTGATCTCTCGATTAATCTATAACCTAAGAGACAATTCGACTGTAAGACGAATTGGCCGATTTCATGTAAGTATCTTTCAAAAATAAGCTCTTTAAACCGATGAAACTTACAGATCATATTTATGATTATTTTTTACCAAAAAAAGGGATCAACTTTGTTTTGAGCTTGATAAGTTGCTTGATAACTTGCTTACGTTTGATGCTAGAAACTTTTTTAAAAATCAAAAATAAAGATTTCTCTAAACAATTTAAAAAAAAGTAAAAAAATATATTTTTTTTTATTATTTCACGTTGAATTATTCGATATGGAATTTGACGAATAGGTAAGAATCTATTTTTCATTAGCTATAACTCTGCTTCTGCTGGGTATACAGACTTCATACATATACTATTGTTTTCACTTTTTTATAAACTGTATTTTTGCTACCAACATTTTTTCCATAAAATACTTACCTTTTGAGTTATTTGCGAAAAATCGTCCAAAAACGTGGTGTTTTTGATGAAAAATGAATATATTCACTCGCAAATAACTCGAAAAGTATTGATTTAGTAAAAACCTCTATAGAACAAAAGTTACCTAGAATTAGTCAGTTTATCCACTTCCGGACTTATTTTGGATGTATAACTTTTCAGCCCCCAAGAAGGTGCGGTACTCACCCCCAGGGCAAAAATACACATCGGCACAATATCACTTTTTTTCCTTGACACGTTAGCTATATGTGTATGACAAATTTCATATCAATCCCAGTGGTTCTTTAAAATTTAGAGGTTTTTACAATATTTTACCGTTAGTGAATGGACTATATTGTGTATTAACTTTTAATCATCTTTGGTGTCAAGTTCCTAAAGAAATATGAATAATTAACAATATTATTACTGTTTAACAAAATATTAGACCTTAATTTAAAAATAAAAGTTTATTATTTAATTGCTATTGCGCCGCCTATGTTTTACAAAGAGGCCGACACTTGAGTGTCGAATTTTGTTTTTATGACTTGTCCAACTGACATCGTAGAAACTATAATAAAATACAACATTTTCAATTACCTAACAACTCCAGATTAATTTCATTTGACGTAAAAAATCTTTTTCCTAGTATCCCTCCTACCGAAACTTTTATTCTAGTAAAAAACCTTTTAGACAAACCTTTTAGTACAAATCCAATAATTACATCTGAAATTTTACATCTTCTTGAAGTTTGCATAAACCAGAACTACTTTGAATTTAATGATCAGATATATACAAATAACAGTGCAGGACTTATAATGGGCAATCCTCTAAGCCCATTACTATCAGATATTTTTATGGACCATTTAGAGACAAAGATTTCAAAACATCCCGTATTAAAACAATTTCTATATTGGTGGAGATACGTAGACGACGTACTGGAATGTTTCACAGGAACTAACAGGCAACTCGACCAATTTTTATCGTATATTAATTCACTTCATAGTCATATTGAATTTACAAGAGAAACAGAACAAAATCAATCCATAAATTTTTTAGATATAAAAATTATCAGACTTAAAAACAAACATGACTTCTCCATATTTCATAAACCTACACATACTGACACGACTATACACAATTCATCATCCCATACAACACAAATTCCGATGTCAAATTACAACTTTGAGACAGAACTAAATATAATTAAACAAATAGCAGTAAACAACGGATACAACGAACAAACAATTAATAAAATTTAAATCAAAAACTACACAACAAAGCCCTGAAATTAGTATTTCCACCACCAGAGAAAAAACCCAGTACCTTCTGCTCGATTACATATACAGGCAAAACAACAACAAAAATAGCCAAACACATAAAAAAGAAAGGAATAACACCAGCTTTCCGAAGAAATAACAACCTAGGCAAATATATTAAAAATAACAAGAGCCAAAATAAAAAACACTTAAATAGTGGTGTGTACAAACTTCAATGTGGGGACTGCCCAAAAACTTACATCGGTCAAACTGGTAGAAACTTTAATAAACGAATAGCAAAACATAAAAGGGCTTTCAATAATAAAAACAGATTCGACATACGCACTTCACCTTCTAGATCATAATCATTCTTTTAATGACAAATTTAAAATTCTTCACATTCAAAATAAAGGCCTTAAGCTATCTTTGTTAGAATCTATGGAAATCAATAAATTAAAAACACAGATATAATTCTGAATGACCAACTTGAGACAAACAGTTCTCCCCTCCTCAACCTATTTCATTAGAGAGTATAAATTGTAAACACATGCCAAAAATAGATCACTTGAGAAAGGCAATCAGCCGAAACCGCTGTAGTGATAATAGTTAAAATAAATTTTGTGGAAGTTTAAAAACAAAGTTTTCAGTATTTTATTATTACATTATTATAGGAGACATGATATGCGCATGAGTATATAAACACACTAAGAAAGTAGACAATTCAGAGCAAAAGAATAAACTTGGTTCAGTTACGAAAGTATAAGAATTTGCTTCAAAAGTTATGGTCGTTTTAATTATTTAAAACAATATTAGTATGTACTTAAACAAACAATCTATTTAACAAATTAATCCTGGCAATTATTTTATTTACAAACAGACAAAATTGTCTTTTTAATAAAAAAAGGCGCATTAAGGGGCGCCTCTTAATTAACAAAACATTTGAGAAACTCTTGTGTTTTATTTGCTAAGCCACGTAGTTATCGGAGAATCTTCCATATTTTTGTAATTATTAGACGAATTAAAGTAAAAATAGTGTAGTCTCGTAACGTTCGACTTCATGGATTGATTCCAATAAAATCATCTTAAACAAATACGTGTACTGTTTATTCACTTCAGTCTTATACAGACATATTAAAGATAACAATGACGCCAGCGATTGGAGATAATATTAACCTATCTAAGTGAATATAAAGTTATACTTCATTGTAAGTGCAAATGTTGGATCACTTTGATAAAAAAACGTTGTAACCGATGTTACAATACTGAAAATTTGTATTATAATATATATATATATATATATATATATATATATATATATATATATATATATATATATATATATATATATATATATATATATATATATATATAAAATAAGGATCACTCGAGGAGTAGCGGGTTTTTCGGTCAAAAATTGGAGAAAAAAAGACAAAGATGATGGCTACTTCATCTATTTATTGAAAACGTTTCGCTATCCAATTTGATAGCATCATCAGGTCATCTAAAAAGAACAATATGAAAAACCTAACATCCAATGAAAAGTTATTAAGTATGTTACCTCAAAATGATATGTAGCAGTCAGTGATATTAACAATTGTAAAGAAGCTTACGACAATGGACATTGTATAATTATGTTGTATAAACAATAAATTGAACTAAATATAGTTAACAATTTTCATAAAATTAGCACAGCAAAAAACATGTGGTAGTTGTACATGTATGTAAAAAAAAATTATAAGTAAAAACTTATAATAAAAAAACACAATTAGTATGGAAAAGAACTAAAAGATCCAAGAATGCATTTCCAACAGTAAACCAATAATTAAGATTTCATTTTAACTTTAGGTAGCATTATTCTAATGATTAATTAAAAATTGAGTAATTTAAAAGTAATAATGAAGTTACCACTGAGAGCTTGTCGAGTGCTGCCGGTGAAATGAAGGCAACAGGTGTTAAACGTCAAAAACGTGAAAAGATAGATGCCAAGAGGTCAACGAGTGACAGAACTACAAGGCGTATTACTACCAACTCCAGTACAATAGAGCGGTTTATTTAAAAAATATGACAAATTTGGTCGACAAACTGTTTGTAAAAACCAAAAACTGAAAGGAAAAGGTGGTTGAGAACTCCATTTTCCCTCCAGTGATCGGTTGAGATGAAATAAAGAACAAACAAGAGAAGTCAATCCAAAAATCATATGTTAATAGTCTACGTTGTGACTGGTTAGCCAGCCACAGGGGAAGGATGATCAAACTTCCAACAGTCCAAGGTTCATCACATTTGGAAATGAATTTAAGAGGATTCTATGAATCAATTTATAATAATAAAGTTGTATTAAACTATTTGTATGGAAACAATTAATACAATTATACAATAGCAACGTTGACATTAAGTCATTAAATATAGGTTGCATAAATCTAAGATAATTTAAAGCAAGAGTTTATTATTTAATTTATTTTAATTTATATTTGAAAATTATTTAAAAAGAAATTATGTAAAGAAAACCCCTTAGGTGACAATTTTTAAAGTAAATAACATAGTAAGCCTAATTCTGCAATATTAGAGCATGATAAATTTGGCTCAAGTTACTAATGTCAGTTCTCTTATTAAGAGTATTAGGGTGTCTAAGTATATGACACATTTCTAAAAACTGTCTTTTAACGAGATTGCGTTCAGAACCAAGAATCTTAACTTCAATAAAATCTACTCTGTGTTTAGTGTTGATAGCATGCTGTGCAAGGGCACAAGTATGCTTAGATAAGTTGATATCACTGCGGTGTGTCGTAAGACGGCCTCTCAGTGATCTCCCAGTCTGACCGCTATAGCACGAGTCACAATCAGCACAAGGTAAATGATAAATGACATTAACTTGTTACAGAAGGGACAAGGGTGTTTTGGTTTTTGAAAACAAATTTCTAACAGTCTTGGCATTATTAACCGCAATTTTAACAGGTATTTTCTTCTGTTTATACAGTTTAATAAGTTTGTCAGTAACTTGAGGAAAGTAAGGTAAAGATGAGTAGTGGGTGGTAGGAGTCCCAAGTGCAGTACCAGGCAGAACAGTGTCATTCAAAGAATTATTTGATATTATTCTAAGTTGGTCACCATTGGGTATGTTATTTAAAGATGAACCATAGCTTTGTACAAAAAGGTATTTGTTAATGAGAGAAGAAGGATAAGAATTCTCAATGAGAATATTTCTAAGTGATTGAAGGGATTCCCTTCGATTAACCGGATGTGTCAATCTATTTAGCCTGCAGCTTAAAGCTTTAATTAAGTTTAATTTATATTTAAAAGTATGACAGGAATGGTAATTAAGGAACCTATTAGAGGCCATAGGTTTTCTATACCAACTTGTGGTTAAGGTGTTTTCCTCCATTCTAATGACACGCATGTCTAGAAAGGGAATGCTATTTGTGAGGGGGTCCTCAAGTTCAACAGTGAACTGTTAATGAGGATCAAATTCATTCAATTTTTGAATTCAATGATTTTAATGATTTAACGGTTTAATGATGGCGAAAAAAGTTTATTTAAAGACTTGTTTACACGGGTAGAGTTGTGAGGAGAGTAGAGTAGCGAGTAGAGTCGACTCTACTCGCTACTCTACCAAAAATGACTTGATATCGTTCACACGAGGAGAGTTACAAGTATAGTACTGATGCTAGTATAGTGTGGAGTGGGTGTTTGTTTAGTACAAAATGAATTCAAGAAAAAGAAAATTGATTCAAAATTGTTTAGCTACTGTTGCAAATGCATTTGTAACTGAGGTCGCTGAAGCTATCGATGATGAGGTAAATATACAAAGAAAGGGGTGGATGAGAGAGTGGCTTAAAAGAAGGAATATATACGGGGCCTCAGCTCTTCTGCTAAGAGAACTAGCCTTAGAAGATGAGTTGGAATATAGGATGTGTCTAAGGATGACTTCAGGGAAATTCGAAAAACTTCTGAATATGACACAATCGAACGACAAGACACTTTTATGAGGGATGCAATAAAACCAAGAGTGAAGCTTGAGAAGTCCGTTCCCACTTGTCGTGAGTTGGGAAAAATAAATAACTTACACACTTTTATAAGAATGCTATTATGTATAATTGATGGATTCGACCGTTACTTGATGGAAATTCATTTAATGTAACAATAAAACACTAAAACTTTGTTTTCAAACTTCCAATGTATGTTTAGTCTAGTTTTTAACCTTTGTAGTATACATTTATAAATTTGCAAGTACCATATCTGAGAACATTAAATATAATGGGTAAACATATTATGATCTTATCGGCACTTTTAAAAATGCTGATTTTCTTAAGCTCGGTACACATATACGAGCCAAACGGTATGCGTACGGTATGCGAACGATATATTCGTTAAGCTCGGTACACATATACGAGCCAAACGGTATGCGTACGGTATGCGAACGCTATATTCGTTAAGCTCGGTACACATATACGAGCCAAACGGTATGCGTACGGTATGCGAACGCTATATTCGTTAAATGTGTACGGCAGACCAAACCGCTTGCGAACTGTTTGTTCGTGGCTCGTCGCGAACCAAATTGTTGCGGTTTATTCCACGACTTCAAAAGAAGCTCGTCGTTCAGTTTGGACGGCGCTACTAAACGCAGCGAACATTTTTATTGTCTCATCAAATCGACATAGTATGAATGACGTGTTCCTTCCTAGAAAGACGTGAGAAAACAGTAAACTTATTATTGTACATATTTTTATTTTTGTTAAACAAGCAAATGATGTCTTGATTTACATTTTTGAACGTGACTTATTTATGTGTGTAGAGGAAACTTTTGTGGGTTGTAACAAATCTCACAAATTGTTTTTTTGAGTCGGTTGAAGTTTTTGAAATTTTTTATTTATTCTAACCTATATATTCTTATCTATCTATCTATCTATATATATATATATATAATATATATATATATATATATATATATATATATATATATATATATATATATAGATAAGAAACAGAAACACGATAAATCAGTACCC